TTTCTGTTATTATTTTCAGACCCTTATTGCATCGAAAATACCTTTACTATGGTATTGTTCTGTAAATTTTTACCAAATTTTTATCTCATTAAATTATAAAACAGTTAAATATTATAAAGTTACTAAGTCTTTGAAAAAGTTAAGTCAGATTACTGACTTGTTTTTTTTTAAAACAATGACTGAAACGATTAAATTATATTTGGATCATTTAGTTAATTCACGATATTACAGTATTATAAGGATATTAAATAAAATACTTGAAATATAAGGTAATATTTCAAGAAATATACTGATAAATTCGGAATGAATTTATACCAAATTTGAAAAACCATGGGATTTCTCTGAATTACTCGAGAAAAAACGTTCTGCAAGGAAGGCTGGGAGAAAAATACGGGGCTGCATTTAGAAAGATATAATAAATCGAATATTTATTTTAAATAATGGTAGTAAAGCTTACGTGAAAGAAGAGATTTGCCCTCAACGTCTCTTTATTTGTAGGTTAGCTTGAGTGCCAGAGGCTCTGTGCTTGCAATTAGCAGTTCATCTTTTGTATGTTGATAGACATTCCTAAAAAATGTCTGTTAAGAGAGCTCACCTTTAATCTTTTAACCGTGGTTTACGTGCTGTCTGTGTTTAAATTATGTTTCACTCTTCACGTAAATGCTGGCTTATTGTATGTAGTATATTAAAATAAAATTCAGTAAAGTTTATCTGCTTACGTGTCATAACTTTTTTTTACACTGATTCTAATATCTTTGATTTCTTGGGATAAGAATGTATTTTTTAAGTTTTAATCGTTCTTTGTTTAATTTTTGTCAAGTCTTACTTGTTATTTTTCATTTCATTTTTACATTTTAGCATAGTATTAGCAGAAAGTTTCTTAGGTAAAGGTACTGATATCACTATTCACGATGGTAGCTGGATTTCACTAGTTTTAATAAGCAGACAAAAGTTAGAACACTCGTACAGTTATCAATGAAGGCTAAGAGTGCGTTTACATTAGTGAAAAATTAGTGGGGGGTAATACTAGCATCCCAAACTCAGAAATTCACTACTCGTAGCTTTTTGTATATACCAACAAAACTTTTTATAGAAATGGAATATGAGGAAAACACTTTTGATCTCATAAAATTATAAGGTTCTTTAATTTCTGTAGGAGTTGGAACTACAGTTTTTTTTTTTACAAGCTTTGGGCTGAAAAACCTTCTGCTGGCAGCGATTATGAAGTACATCATATGCAGGTATCCTGAATACTCTTTTTCTTAAAGACTAAATGATAAAAA